AAGAAGTAGGGAGTATCTTCCCTACTCCCTTGGGACAAAAGATAGTCGAATATACAGTAATATGTCAAAGGGAGGTGAAATCAAACTGAAATTTCCATTACTTGTCAGAGGCATAGTTAAATAATGTAGTATGTTAAAATTAACACATGTCAATAATCATGTGAGCTCTAGCAGAACTTTTTTTTTTTTTTTTACATCAATAGACACAGTAAATGTCTAGTATGTTTATATATATATATATTTAGTTGCTAAAATTTTGATTTTTGTTGTGAAATGAAAATGTATTTCGTAATAATAACATGTCTAAACATGGTACAGTATAAAAAATAAGTCTTCTGGGTTAAATTAATATACATCAAAACTTTGATGGAGCTTTATATGTTTATAAATGTAGTTGTAAACAGGAAAAGTCAACTTATATTAAATTCTTGTGTACATGGTACGCCAGTTTCATAAATTCATATTAATGTCTTCTAAATATTCATATGGGGTCACCAGTAGGTAGGATGAAAGCACAATGAGTTTCTTTTATTCTTTTAATATTTGAAATGATTTGTAGCTGGGAGAGTGAGATGAGCCTTTTATGCTCATTGAAGATTAGAAAGGGAAGGATGGGGGGAGGGGATCTTTTTTGTTTTGTTTTTGGAAAACATAGTCTCATATTATGATGTTACGTCACATGGATACATACACTTAATTTCTACCAAAAATGGATATATAGGCACATGCTCAATTTTATTGTTACTTTTAACTGCATCAAATGTAGAATCTTTCGAATACACCATAATGTATTAAACTATGACTGAAGGTCTTAGAATTGGAAGTATAAATTGTAGGGGATTGTCCTCAGATCCATCAAAGCGCAGAGACCTGTTTGAAAGATGTAGAAAAAAATATGATATTACTTTTCTTATAGATACTCATTCTATTCAAAAGGTTGAAAACTTATGGAAAATGGAATGGGGCTATGAAGCCTGGTATAGTTCATATGAGTCAAATAGTAGGGGGGTTGCAATCTTGTTTAAAAATTCTTTTGGTTTTTCATTGTTATCTAAGAAAGAAGACAAAAATGGTAATTTCTTAATTGTAAATATTAACCTTACTTCATGTGATAAAAACTTAACTTTGGTTGCAGTTTATGGACCAAATAATACAGATATCAACTTCTATCATCAACTATCTCACCATCTTGAGCTTTGTGAAAATACATCTTTTATTATAGGTGGTGACTGGAATGCACCACAGGATTATGTTAATGATACTAAAAATTATATAAATAGAAATAATATGATAAACCAGGGTAAAATTATAGATATTATGGAATCTTTTGATCTTGTAGATATCTGGAGAGAACAACATCAGGATGTTAACTTTTATACTTGGCATGGTCCAAATCGAAAACAGGCAAGATTAGATTATTTCTTGATCTCCTCTGATTTAATGTCTTATGTAATAAATAGTGACATAGGTTTGAGCTACAGATCAGATCACAGTCCAATTTTAGTAGTTTTAGAATTTATTAAACAAAAAAGGGGAAAGGTAACATGGAAATTTAATAACAGTTTGCTAAGAGATCCTAATTATGTAAATTTAGTTAAAGAGTGTATAAATAATATAACAGGTCAATATGCAGAAAACCCTGAAGTAGAGAATAAAGATCTGTTAACTTTTACTATTAGTGACTCTTTAGTGTGGGAAACCTTAAAATTTACTATTAGGGGAAAGACTATTGCTTATACAGCACAGAAAAAGAGAGAAAAAGACAGGGAAGAAAAACAGTTAGAAGTTAGGTTAGAAAAATTACAAAAAGCAGAACATAGGAACCCAGAGCTCATTCAGATGGTTGAAAATGAATTAAAACTACTTAGGGAAAGAAAAATTAATGGTATTCTCTTAAGAGCAAAATCAAGATGGAAGGTGGAAGGTGAAAAAGTACAAAATACTTCTGTAATTTAGAGAAGAAACATTTCCAAGAGAAACTTATACCAAAACTTGTCAAAGAGAATGGACAAGAGATCACAAATATACATGAAATAATTTCAGAGCAAAAACTTTATTATGAAAAACTGTATAGCAGGAAAATTTTAGAAAATAATGAACATAACTTTTTTGATGATACAAACCCATTTAATAGAAAACTGTCTGCTGCACAAAGTGATCAATTAGAAGGTAAATTGAAATATCAAGAATGTCTCTTTTCTGTTAAAAATATGAAAAATGACAAATCACCAGGTATCGATGGATACACTGTAGAATTCTATAAATTTTTCTGGTCTGATATAGATAAATTTTTGATACGTTCTCTAAACCAAGCACACACAAATGGTCAATTTTCTGTCTCACAGCGTCGTGGCATGATTACATGTATACCCAAAGAAGGAAAATCAAAATTATATATGAAAAACTTTTTGAATGTTGATTATAAAATAGCATCATCTGTTATTTCTAATAGGTTGAAAAATTTTTTAGATAGTCTTATTAGTGATACTCCGAAAGGTTTTAGAAAAGGCAGATATATTGGAGAATGTACAAGATTAATTGCGGACATATTAGAAAACACTGAAAAAAAATCATATTCCTGGACTTCTTCTATTAATTGACTTTGAAAAGGCCTTTGACTCTTTAAGTTTTGATTTTATTTTTGATTCTCTACATTTTTATGGTTTCGGGCCGTCATTTATTCAATGGATCAGAACTTTTTACAAAAATACTAATTGTTGTATTATGAACAATGGTCATTGTTCAGAATTCTTTGAAGTTCAGCGCGTTGTGAGACAGGGTGACCCTTTGAGTCCATATATATTTATACTATGTGTAGAAATATTAAGTTCAGCCTTAAAAATTAATCCAAATATAAATGGAATTACTATAAATAACTCAGAATATTTAATCAATCAGTTTGCAGATGATACATCCTTTACTTTAAGTGATAACCCATTGTCCCTAGAAACCACACTTAATATTTTGGAAGATTTTGGAAAAGTATCAGGACTTAAAATAAATTTTGACAAAACCCAGGCAATATGGATTGGGGCTAGACGGGGTTGTGGGTTGGAACTTCTACCTGAAAGAAATTTGTTATGGAACCATCAAGGAATTTTTAAACTTTTGGGAATTACTTACAATTTCCAAAAAGAGAACATTTTTGAAGATAATTACTATGAAAAATTGAGAGCAGTGCAAAAATTACTAAAAGATTGGTCATTTAGAAATTTATCCTACATAGGAAAAATTATTATTATAAAAACATTAGCCTTACCTATTTTTATTCAGACATTAACTGTCCTTGCTGACCCTCCTTTACATATAATTAAGGAATTACAAAAATGTTTCTTTACCTTTCTATGGGAGGGAAAACCAGATACAATAAAGAGAAATATTATGTACAGTGATTATAAAAATGGGGTGTTGCATTTTCCACATATTTTGACTTTTTGTCACTCACTTAAGATGTCTTGGATCAAAAAAAAATTTGATACCTCAAACCACTCAGCTTGGAAAACATTACTTATAGATAAACTAGAATTGGTTGGAGGTGTAAATATTTTTAAAATGACAAGGTTAGGATTAACTGAGATATCAAAAATGTTTAATACTTTTTGGAGTGAAGTATTTACAGCTTGATAGATTACTATGGTGTGATTAATGCCATTCCAAGGAACTGGAAAGTAATTCTGCAGAATGTAAATGTTCAAGTACCTATGGTAAATGTTCAATATAGGTTAATTGATTACCTTAATACACATGACAAAGTCACAGAGTACTTCTATCAAATTTTTATTAAATCTGTTTCTGAGAAACCTACAAATAGTCAAAGAAAATGGCAAGAAAACTTTAATACTGACATTAGTGAAGACACTTGGGAGTTAATTTATTTAATATCAAGGGAGATAACTGATGATACAAAACTTCTAACTTTTCAGTATAAAATATTACAAAGGATATTGTATACAAATACAAAGTTAATGAAATGGAAACTTGCAGAAACCGAAAGATGCACATTCTGTAAAAATGAAAGAGAAACGATTATACACCTATTTTGGGAATGTAATGTTGTTAAAACACTTTGGTTTTGGTTAATAGAATTATTAGAAAACAAACACCAATTGTCTTTACCTAGAAATCCAGAAGTCTTTGTTCTTGGTGTAGTAGAAATAGAACACAGATATGAAATCAATTTTTTAATGCTTCTTATGAAATACTTTATATTTTTGTGTAAATTAAAAAATAAAACTAACTATTTCTGAATGCAAGAAATATATTTCTTAATATAAAAAAATAGAGGACATTGGGTTATATAGATACTGCCTTAGAAAACAAGAATTATTCAAAACAAATGGATCTTTATTAATCAGTTAATAAATTAGTGAATTATCGTATTCCAACGTATTGTTAACACAGTGTCAACAAGTATGTACTTTTTTGTTTTCATATGCACTGTAATATTTTATATTATATGCATTAATTTTAGATACAAGTACAATGTATGACGTGTAGTTATGCATGTGATGTGATTGATGTAAGTGACTATTGATAAAAACCTGAATAAAAAAAATAAATAACGTTGAGATACCCTTTGATGACCGTGAGGCAATTTGATCATAGAGGGTTGCAATGCGTTTATGTAAACCTTGATAGAATTACAAGCACAAATGTTCATGAAAGTCATTAGATATATAATACTTTATACCAGATAAGGTTCTCATATCACGCGATAAAGCTGTAAACACATGTACATGATAAACAGCAAACGACACAGTTTGTGGGAACCTATTTCACAGCGTGCGCGTCGAGTAAACTAATACAGGTGTGACCAGGTAAGATTTGTAATCACGCCTTCGATAAGGAAAACCCGTCACACCAATCGGGAACCCTCGGCACTTTCCGCAAGCGAGAAAACACCTCGGGAGTATTAGGCGGAGTAATACAGCCAAATTTTGTCCAAAAAGGCCTTCCGGTGGAAGGATCAACAAGTTAGTCGCCGGTTTTCATTTTCCAATATGGCTGACTTTTTTACTTGTATAGAGTTTGCAAAAACGCATCTTAATTTCAAGCACGAGTTGAAGGAAAAACAGGTACAGACGCTCCAGAATCTCTATGAGGGACGTGATGTTATAAGTGTGCTTCCTACTGGTTACGGAAAAAGTATTATTTTTCAGTTATTGCCATGGTTGTTCCAGCGAAAATATGACTCCTCTACACCATGCATAGTATTAGTCATTTGCCCCTTAAACAGTATCATGGAGGACCAAGTGATGGGGTTAAGGGAAAGGGGGATATCAGCGTGTTATATCTCTGGATCCGTTGGCAAGACATTTATGACGAAGGCTGGGTTTGACTATGACAGTTCCGAGGACGAAGACGAATCAGCATGGACAATAAAAGACGTCTCATTCAAAGACATATCCGACGGGAAATATAATATAATATATGCCCACCCAGAATCTGCCCTCTGCAAGAAGATGTACTCTGTCTTCAGATCAGCCCTATATCAAACCAAGATATGTTGTGTAGTTATAGATGAAGTCCACATGGTCTCAGAATGGTAGGTGTCATTATTAGACGAACACTGTGATCATCAAATTGTTTTCAAGGGTCATTTTCCAAATGTTTTCCCAAGTCAGTGAGTCATACAATGTAAAATTAACTATTTCTAGAAATTCTATGGGTCCTTTCAACTTTTTATGAGTACAGGATTCGGAATGCACATGTAGATCTATCACTGATATTAGTTAAGCCTTGCCAACTGGAGGTCTACTGATAATATGTAAACATAACTTTAATTTATACTATATTATTGATTTCCATAAAAAATAACAAAGTTCATATATCTTATACCAAAATGAAGCTAAGGTCATTCCCTTTCCGGCGATTTATTCGTGATATTAATGTTGTGATTAGAACAGCTAGAAGTTTTGTAACCCTAGTGAATACTAGCTGCAAATATACCTCTCGGCTAGAAAGAACTTCTCTTAGGCTGGATTGGTTGAGCGTCAGACTAGTAAGGCAGTTGTCCCGGGTTCAATACCCAGCGGAGGCAGTAAAATAGTACTTGTTTAATTTCATTAGCTCTGCTACAGTTATTGATTCACCTGTACCTTTTTCTCCCTATAACATTACTTATCCCAAGCCCTTCAGACCTTCAATCAGCATGTCCTAATTCTATTGTTAGAAACAAAGTGATGTCACTGTGAAAAGTCTTATCAAACAGCTCCAGTGCACAAATCTATCTACCAGGTCAGGATAAAGAAACCACAACTTTGGTAGACTACATAAACTAGCTTATATAATTATCTTGTATATGCCAGTTTCAGTATCGATTTGTTACTTGAAAAGGGCAAAAATAGAAACATTTGATTTTGAATTCACCCATGAATAGATAAATACTGTTTTGATATGTAATTTATTAAAAGTAATAAGACCTTGCACAGTTATAACACATCAGTTTCCATGACCTGTATCCATTCAATAATTATCTCAACTCAAGTTTTTCCAGATCTATTCAACTGTCTATGTACTTTTGTGGATTTGTATGGAGACAAAGAGATTTCTGAAAAAACAACACTATATAATTTTGCAGTGTGATATTAGTTTTATCAAAAGATTGATATTAATGAAGTGAAGATTACTTTTTTTTGCTAAATTGGCATAAAATCCAATGCATAATTTGACATAACATAAATGTTTATGATATATACAATGCATCATGATCACTATCCCCATATATAAGAAAAGCTTTTGTCTTTTATTTGCATTTTGGTCTTTGACTTACTATAGGTTGCGTATTAATAGATTACTAAGTTTACTAAATAGTTTACTACGATACATGCTTATGGTATTTATCTGTAAAACAATGATACATATATAATACTAATGCAATCACACTCACCATCAAGTAGTACATCGAATATCATTCTTCCATTAAAAAAATATGAACAATTTACTAAATCATTATGACACAGTTGTCAA